TAAAATCAGTTAGATTTCAGTGGAACTGGTACTTAATAATAGATATAATGTGTAAAGACACTAGTATTTAACTTTTTTAGATAAATCTATACATATAATAAAATTGTAACTAAACCGAACCTGTACATTAGATATTTTTTTGAAAATCTCATTGAAATAAACATTATTATACAAGGGCCTATATATTTAATAATAATTATTATTATATTATTGTATATCGATACAAGGGCCGAATCTATAGTTTTTAGAATTTTTGTCTGTCTGTTACCGCATCACAGAAAAACCACTGGAGGTATTTGGATGAAATTTCGTATGGTGATAGTTGGTTATCCGGGTCAACATATAGGATACTTTTTACCGCGGGAAAATATCTCATTTCTGAGAAAAAATACAAAAACTACAATGTAAGAGTATACTAATATGTAAAACCTAAGAATTTGGTTTTTGGTCATCTGAACGCGGGCGGAGCCGCGGGCAATGCTAGTATCTAATATGTTATGAAGAGTGAAAACAAGTAGATGTAAGCAAAAAAATAGTTAATGCTACTGACATAGTTAGTAATTTAGTATAAAATCGATTCTCTAAAAGGAAGTTTCTTTACATTGTTCATGAAAAACAGGCTGGAGTTTTTATAAATTAACCACACTCGCCATATACGGTCGTCATAAAATCCAATCTGATAACAAATCGAATTCATTTTCGATTCTTCAACGTTTACAAACCATTGATTATTTCTTTTTTAGCATTCTTTATTATATAGCGTGCGTACTTTCGGTTTCGACTCATAATTTAACGGGTGCATGTCTCAAAATTTATTGGAGAATATGCAATCAAAATTTTCCTTCTTTTGTAATGATGGTATAAAATTTAACATACCATGGTAATATATTATATTTTTTGGTTTATGCCAATACAAAATGTGAGGCTTTGAATAATTCCGTAATTTTCCTTAGATGGGCAAATCAAATCTATAGTGTTTATACCAAGACAGACGCGGGTTCGACGTTGTATTCTCGTCATGGGTTTTTTACGGAATATGGTATATTTAGAATTAGTTTAGATTGGTGAATATACAATATACGTTATCTATACTAATATTATAAAGAGGTAAAGTTTGTGAGATTGTGAGTTTGTGAGGTTGTAGGGGGTAATCTCTGGATCTACTGAACCGATTTAGATGAAATTTGGTAAGAAGATAATTTGAGACCCTCTGAAGCACAAAGAATTTTTTTATCCCGAAAATCATCCTTTAAGGGGGTGATAATGGGCATGAAAGTTTGTATGGGGAATCAAGCAAGGGACGAACCCGAGCGAACCGAGGGTTAGTCGCTAGTTGTACATATACATATTTACTAACATTTGTAGAAATTGTCTATATACTGTGGAATATCTAAAGTTTTAAATGAAAGTAAAAGTAGTGTTGTAATGGAAGAAGCGACGAGTTCCGAATTCTCAATCAAGATGCCCACGCGACGCCACTTGCCACAAACTTTCTATTGACCATCGGCACGTTAAAACAAACAGACAGACATCTACTTTCAATTTGCATTTGAACTTTCATCACCGTATATGACGATATTCCATGGTAGAGTTACTAGTGGCGACTTTACATGAATATAAAGTTTAGAATTTACCTGTACTCGTTATTGGCACTGGAAATAAGGTTAAAAGTTGCATTTCGAGTCATGCACTTGGACAGTTTTTATTATTTAATACTAATCTTACAAAATCTACGTCAAAATTCAACTTGAGTACATGAAACTACAGAGGGTAAAGAGGAGACCCTTATATCGAAGACAAGTTGAAAATCAAATACGAAATATGAAAGTGTCCACCTATATGCTGAAAATAGATGGCGCTGGCGTACGAAAAACTACGATATGAATTTAGCTGTTGTAGATGGAGTGAAGTGTGCTAAGTTCAACAATTTAAAAATTTTCATGATTAAAGGAGTTAATGCAATACCAGTTGGTATATAAATAACCTTAATTATTCATGTAGTCTAACATTATTAAGTAAATATTTATTTATTTATTTATTTGCTTTCAAGGGAAAAAAGCAGTACAATAAATAATTACATTATAAACACATAAAAGTAATCCTAAAACCAATCAAGTTTCCACAGATATCTAATACATAGTAAAAGCTTGCCACCATATATAATATAACCATCTCTATTCTTTGTTTATTTCTCTATTTTACTTTAATTACTTTTGGCGCTTCCTTTAAAATTTATCCTACGCTACCGCAGCGCCACCCTTATTTTATGTTTTGACGGACACTTTTTCATACATAATGACTCCTCCTAGCCTCTACGCTCCATACATGACACGACCAAAAATGATTGAAGTTACACACGCGTAGAAACAATTGTCCGATATCATTTTTAATCCAACGCATACCTGAAACAAAAAAGGTTTGAATTACTACAAAAAAATAAAAATGTCATCAGATATCCAAATAAGAATCACGACATGTTTTATTCCTTAAAAACAGTTACTCCATCGGTATTTCGTTTAGGATATTATCTAGTCGGGATTGTGGGTAATAAATAATAATAAAGGAGACAAGAGTTGCGTGACGCACGCTACCGGGCTGCGCGTGCGCCGGCACATCTCTGCTAAAGTGACCAGGGATTCAGATTTCCTAGGTCTTTCCTCTTTAGTATATCATTGGTTTTTGACTAAATTCAAAATGGAGGTAGTTTTGGACGTGCTTTTATGTACATATATGCGATACGTTTCGCATCTTCACGAATTGTTAATAGATTTTTATTGCTCTTTTTACGGTTATAGGCTTTATTTCAAGGATGCTCTTACACATACTCGTATATATTTTGTAAGCATTAAGTGCCAAATCCTTACATTTTCAAATTCGAAGTCGGTATTTTTTTTTAGTTTAAAACATTTATAAATACCTAATATTGAACCAATACTAAAATTTGCTAAGTTTAAAAACTTATATATAATATCAATATATAAATGTTATATGGTACTTGACACTAGTTATTTGATCTTTTATCTTTTTTATCTTTGGATGAAACATCACTAATATCCACCGACAATCAGTGGATAATACCGACCCGTAACAATATAATGATACAAATGGAGCGTTAAAATTTTTGAATCATTATAATAATTTTTGTAATGATACCCAAAAATTAAGGTTATTTAAAAATCTACATCTTCCTAACGGTTCACTAATAACGTTGTAGGTAGTTACTTAATTTAAACGCTCAGCATATTAAAAATATATAATTGAAGTAAATAATACACAGTATATGTAAAAGTCCAACTGCAATAAGTTGCCTTTAATTTAATTTTTTTATTAATTTACTAGCATTGCCCGCGGCTCCGCCCGCGTTTAGATTAACAAAAACCAAATTCTTAGGTTTTACATATTAGTATACTCTTACAGTGCAGTTTTTTTTCTCAGGAATGAGATATTTTCCCGCGATAAAAAGTATTCTATATGTTGATCCGGATAAACAGCTATCACTATACCAAATTTCGTGAAAATCCCTCCAGTGGTTTTTCCGTGATGCGGTAACAGACAGACAGACAGACAGACAGACAAAAATTCTAAATACTGTAGATTCGGTTTCTATATCAATAATAATGTCTATTTCAATAAGATATTCCAAAAAATATTTAATGTACAGATTCGGCTTAGTTACAATTTTATTATATGTATGTATATTTCATAAGTTACATTGAAGTAAAAATTACGAGAAGTTGCCATATTATGTTGATTTTAGCGTTATAAGAGAGATGAGCTGGAGTGTGAAAATTTACATATTACTCATTCAATTAGCGACACTATGTTTAATTATTTATGTATTTGTCTTTCATGGGAACTGTTGAATAAATACATCAAATAAATACAACAATATTATTTATTATTAGCGATTTCTCCTCACCACGCTCGGGAACCTATATATCTTTTATTTATTGTTTATTATTTACACGCATCATTTGGCCAATTTTATTACTGTCAATAAAGGTTATAGCGTATGTGTTAATATAGATAATACTTTATCTGTGTACTAAATATCATCTAAATATGTGCAGCCCTTTCTACGTTAAAGAGTAACAAACATACATACGAACACGCATACAAACTTTCCCATTCGTAGCAGTGTGTTTTTCAAGGAAAGAAATTTTTTATTGCTATTTTTTAAACGTGGCTGCGCTCGCGTGTTATTAAGATTTATGTACGTCTATGCATTAAAACCAAAATAATAATGTATAAGAATTTCTATCCCAATTTCGTATTTCACCTTCCACAAACACACTTACAAACTTTATCTTATCGCTGTACTTGATTTAAATAGGCTACGTGACAAATTAATATCAGCGAACATTTACATATTAGCATGTTAATAATTGTAAATTATAAACAGTCATTAAACAAAATCACACACTTTCAACACTGCATGTAACACTACAAATCACGCGCCCAGCTTAGTCTTCGCGATGTAAATCACTCTATCGTCTTTAAAATTGAACAAGTCACCTCACGACACGAAATAAGCATGGGAACATTTCAGAATGTGAAGACACAATTTGATAAGTGCAATAATACAATACATTTGCACGCTTTTCCTTATGAAGATTGAACACGAAGTGCCAAAAGCTGAGGCAGAAAAGCTTGCTTGACAGCAAGATTTTTTGTCTATAACTGCTCAAATATTTACAACGCGTCGCCATGACCTAATACAATAATAAAAAGGATAAAATGTAAACATCCTCAAATGATTCACGTAACCAAATTTGTATTAATTACAAAAGTACAAAAAAACACAGCCCTAATTATGAACTAAAATCGCATTCGATAATTCAAATTTTATAAGAAAATAAAGCAGCTACTTTTCTAATTTTATTAAAAAACAAAATAGTTATAAAGTATTTAATTATAAAAATAAACAATATATTATTTAAAGTATGTAAAGAATAATTAAAACGATGTTGTCTAAAAATATTAAATTAATATAACAGTTATTTTTTCTTTTTGCGTTTGCCTTTGAGCTCTGGTTTTACTTCAGCAATTGGTTCAGGTTCCGGTTCTAGTTCTGGAGGAGGTGTCGGTGGTAGTTTACGATCTGGCCATTTACGATGGATATAATCAACCAAAAGACTAACACTTATTGTCTTTGCTTTACCACTCTTTGGTCCAGCAAATGCATTTACAATTTCGTCTAAAAGATCGCTATCTAAGGGTGCTCCTGACGCAACTATGGCATCAGCGAACATTTTTGCAGGCAAAATATCAATTTTATCTTTTACCATTTGCAATGCAATTAAAGCTACATCAACTTTTTTCTTTTTGCCTTTCATAGTTAAAAATTCAACCCTGTTTAAAACTAGTTCTCTCATATCAGGTCCTGTAGGTTTGAACCCACCAATTACTCCTCCGTAAGTAATCACAGTTGTTTTTCTATTTTTCATGGCTTTAATCTGATCCAAAAGCCTCAGGAATTCGCCGGTAACAAATACATTGTCCATGAGAAGGTTTTGAATTTTTGTAGTGTTAAGTTTCATCTTCTGAAGCACTTTGACAGCATCTTCAGGTGTCAAAGGATTGTACGATAGGTCCAGTGTTACCATTTTTTTAGCTTTACCCATGTTTTCTATGAAATTTTGAATGGCTTCACCAGATAGTCTATTATGACTGATATCCAATACGCGTAAATTGGGCGCTTTAAAAATACTTTTTATTGCAGTTCCAATGCGGGGGTTTGATAGCGAGTTCCATGACAGATTTACTTCTTGCAAAACTTTATTTTCTGACATGCGAGTAAATAAATTCACTGTTCCCATAATAGGGCCAAATAGTTGGTTCCAAGAAAGATTGATGTGCGTGAACTTGTTATATATTTCTAACGCTTCAGCCAATACGTTTGCAGATTTTCCACTTATAGAATTATAGCTCAAAGATATTTGTTGGATATCTATTCCTCGAAAAATAACAGCTGCTAAATATTCCACACCATCATCTCCTATTTCATTTTTATCTAATATTAAAATTTTAAGACCCCTATTTATGTGTAATCCTGCAAAAAGTTGTTTCGCTCCTTTTGGGCCTATTTTACACCCTGTTAAGTTTAATTCTCTCAAACTATTATTACTTATTAGCATTTCTCCTAAATGAAAGCATGCATCATCATTCAGGAAGTTATCTGTTAAATTAAAAGTATTTACATTTTTATTATATTGAAGTGCTAAAGTCATGGCTCTCACTCCAGCAGGGTCGATGCAATAATATTTTAAATCTATGGTGTCCTTGACTAAGCCTCTGTAGAAAATTTTTACAGGACATTGGTTCATATCTTTACACAAAGTTAAATATAACTCTTGACCGTCATCTGGGTAAGTTATTTTAGGTTCTGGCTCTAATAACGCCGGCTTTATACCAGGATCGATAACAGCAGGGTAGTCGTAATATGGGTGCCTAAAAACAGAGCTGGCTGACATAGCCACATATTTGTTACATAAATCTCCGCTTCCCGGACTATATAAACCTTGTTCATACAATAGCCTTTTGCGATTTTGTTCAGGAAGTTCTATAATAAGTGACGACCATTCCTCCATTGGAAGCTCTGCAGAACTTTCTTCAACAACCGCTTCGTATATTATATTAGTTTTAACTTCCTTAATTGAAGCTTTTGATGATGACATGTTGATATTAAAAAAAAAGTGTATTAATAATAAAATAAAAACGAAAAGTATTAAAAAACATATCCAAAATTAAAATTGTCAAAATACAGACGTTGTTATAAGACAAATCATTAATGTCTTATATGACAGTAGTCGTCGCCACAGATATCTTCGTTAGAATTGAATCTATAATAATTGCCAACTCAAGCGGATCATTTACGTTTATTTGTTTAGCATATGAGCTTAACTAAGAACTTAAATCAAGCAAAACACAAATAATAATTCATACTGTAGCTAATTTATTTTTTTGATATCACAATCGCAATAAAGCAGCCGTGTGATGGAGATGAGCTGAACTAGATAGTAAATTGTAAACCGGCAGGCTGCAATAAAATATTCAATAGTGTTTCTAACATAAAGTATTAGTAACGAGATTGGTGTATAATTTATCTGTGCTTAAAAAGACTTGCAAGGGTTTAACCGAGGTTTAATTATCGCTGTCGATAGTAAGCGCACGCAATTGTAAGAAATGAATCTTGGGAGATAATTGCGCTGTAAGTGGCTGAGTATATGGTTAAATTTTACCATTATTACGTCAGATATGTTATTGTTAAGTAAATAATGGTATATAAATCTGTTTCGTTGTTAGCACTTTGAACTGTGGTTTTTATATTAATAGCTGTTTTCTTTAATTTATTTTAATAGCTCCTTTAATTCTATTATGTGGAATTTTATGGCACTTATAATGAATATAGTTGGTCTTCTAATGTAATTTTTATTGTTCTTAAAATATCATACTTATGATGAGAGGTTATTGATTTATATATATTTATCTATTATATTAATTAAACTGTGTGACGAGATTGAGAATATCTGAATACAAATTTAAATTTACTAGTACGTACTAATTACGTAATATATTATAGTGTCAGAACGCTTGTTTAGGAGCGGCCAGAAATTGTTTCGCATTATAACATTTACATATAATATTTCATTCATTAGAGAATCTGCTATATTGCAACGAACACTGGGTCAACTAGACCCTGGGGCGTTCAGAGATTAAAAGCTTATTCCCGCTTAATCATGATGATAAATAGACTGTATTACATACATAGACAGTGTCTTACTAATTTGGTTATAAGATCAAAAATGTTCAAAAAGTACCTATATAATGTATAATTTTACAAGCTTTCTCTTATTTTAGATTTTATCTCTTTCTAAATTAAGCCTAGACCTATAAAACTAACAGTAATTGATAGCTCATAACTTTCGTTTACTTGGAAAAGAGAAATTAAGTTTTGAAAGTGCTAATCACCTTGAAATATAAATCAAACCTTTTTGTGATAGATTTTCGATGATAGCGCCTTATCTTTTATAAAATCGGCTTTATACCATTTAAAGTTATACTAATTTATTGGGCCTGTCTAGAAATTCTTCGGCCTCAAAACAGTGAAAGTTCAGCCTGAGGGCACGGAAACGGGCAGAGGCGGTGTTAGTTTGACACTGAAGACATCATCAGAGATAAAACGTCGTCTATCTATCAAAATGTCGCAGCATCACGTTCTTGCGACGACTCCAGTTTCGTGATGACAATTTCAAATTCTAAATATATCACTTTCCATTTCTTGTAGAAATCTATTTGTAGGACCACTTCGAGTTAAAGATGTTTTATTTTCCAAATAATACCAATGTTCACTTACAATAGGAAATTTAAATAGTACAAGATTATAGTCTATAATTTAAACAGTGGGGATACTAAACAAAATCTGGATTCTTGCATGACATAATTGAATGTTTTAAGGTTTTTTTGAACATATTTAAAGTTTTTGACTACTTTAAGTTATTTGGCAAATAGTTGTTAAGCTCAAAAGTGCTCCTTCATATGTAATAGTTTTTATTCCATTATTTGGCTCGAGTCTTAGGTTCAGTTCAATTTTGTGCATGTTTCTGGTCTTGTGTGTGTTTGACTGACTTTGACCACTACTATAATTAATCCATCCTAATCTAGCTTTATGTTTTACAATTGGCAGAGTGATACCAAAGAATATGAAGTGAACAATAGCTAGTTCTAAAAAACCCATGTGTTTTGTACTGCATGAGAAGAGGACAAACAAACAAACAATTTTCGCATTTATAATATTTTTTACCATATATATTGACACAGAATACAATGACAAAGAATTTTTAGATAAGATACCTAACACGTTTAAAGTGATTTAGTGAAACTAATCGAATTAGGGCGCGGTCGCACTAAATCGTCTAATTAAGTAAATTTGTCTGCCTTTACATTGTTCAACTCGTTATCTCTATCGACACGCTCGCGTACTGGCCTAGTGAATAGGTTTGCAAGTTGAAATTTCTAGTTTGTTCTTTAAATTCTTATTTACTTTCATTTGTAATATTGATTAGATGAAATTAGTTTAACATTTAAAATAATACGATAAAGTATTGAAAAAAATCAAAAAATATCTGATAAAAACCTTCTTTAATGTTCAATGTTATTTGTTCTGTGGCTTATGGGGCGTGCCATTTGGACACAATTTATTTCGCCAGTGTCGTGTAGAATGGAGAAGATACGGTAGATTGAGAAATGATCAGTATAAAAACAGATATTCACAATGAGACCTTCTTTAATTCTTATCTTTGTAGCGTTTATTGGCGGACAGAACCAATAAATATATATGATACTAGCTTTTCCCGCGGGTCTGCTCGCGTAGTCTATTTATACACAACTATTTTGATCCTAAAAGTTGTAACGTCATTCTTCTCAGGAAATGGGCTATCAAATGGAAAAAATATTTTTCATATCCGACCGGTAGATCCAGAGGTTAAGCGCGTTCCAACAAAAAAAACAAAGAAACTACAGGTTTATTATATTGTTATAGATAAAAATTACAAATATATAAAAAAAAACGACTTTAACGAATACAACTAACCTTTACGGTATAAGATAGGCAAAAAATCTAACAATCACATTGCCTAATTACAGCTTGAGCAGTGTCCTTTCAAGAATTCTAACATAACAAAAACCGTTCGTATTTGGTATCGTTCCACATACAGGCCAGATTTATTTTAGTAAAACAATAATGCTAATTGCTAAGGTACTGCTAAGTATAAAAACTGCAGCGCCATATATGGACTATAGTCGGCTAAGGGACTCATGAATAATAATATGAAAACAAAACATAAAATTCAATTATTCTAACTAGCATTTAATATGTGACCGCCATTTATTTGTATTTGAAATTTTTCTTTGTGTCTTATAACAGTGTTTTATTTAATTAAAATTCCTAATTAGTTATTGGTAACACTAATTAGATTAATAATGATTAGTGTGATGCTGTTCGTTTATCTATATCTATACATATAATAAAGTTCTGAGTCGAATTTGTACATTAGATATTTTTTTTGAAAATTTTATTGAAATAATTATTATTATCGATGCAAAGGCCGAATCTATAGTTTTAAGAATTTTTGTCTGTCTGTCTGTCTGTTTGTCTGCGAACGCATCACGAGAAAATCACAACACAGATTTTGATGAAATTTGGTATGATGATAGCTGGTTATCCGAGCCAACAAATAGTATTCTTTTTAGTAAAGGAAAACATTTCATGTTTAAGCTATATATTTGTAAAATTTCATTAAAATCCATTAAGTAGTTTTTGCATGAAAGAGTAACAAACATCTATACATCCAGATATCCATATATCCTCACAAACTTTCGCATTTATAATATTAGTAGGATGCATAAAACAATTTCACTTACAAACAAATGTCATAACAGATATTAAATTTTAGTTGCCTTGGAATTTTAATTCGCTACAACCACACTTGTTTTCATTCATATAAGTACTGATTACGAGCAAAGCAGGATGCTTTTGAGGTAACATACGACCTTAAGATTCAAGGTTGCGATATGTCAAATATATAATTCAATTTCATAATTATGAAATATATAATTCATTTAATTTTCGCTGAAGGTCTCGCTAGCATATAATTTGTACAAGTTCAAGTCTTCAAGACTTTGTGAATGTATAAGGGACTTAAAATTAAATTCGTTTTAATATTAATTCTAGAGACGACTTTGAGTAAAATTACTTTACATTTCACATAATTTAACAAAAATATTATTAAAAATTATAATATCAAGAAGTTTATATCATACCTATATATATATATATATATATATATATATATATATATATATATATAATTCCTAATAAAAAGAATCTAACTTTATGAAATCTAAGACCACTTCAGAGTATGAAAATCTATCAAGCGGTTTTAACATACTCGTAGTTACTTTCATACCTAATTTACACAATATATTTTTAAAAATTATTACCCTAATCCAAGGATGTGGGGGTAATTAGTATAATATCATATATAATCTACATTAATATAAAAAAAAGCAACTGTATGTTTGTTTAAATAATTTCTGGGACTACTAGTCCGTTTACAATTCATTTATTGAGGACAACTTCGCAAGCGGAGCAGCACGCAATCGCTAGTGAAAAACACTCGCTATTACAGGTAATCGAACCTCGATCCTCAATCATTTGTTTTTGACTTTTATAGATATTATAGATAATGTGAAGTAAATCATCTAAAAGACCAAACAAATTGGATAATGTAAGAGAAACTAAAAATATTACGCCATCGATGACTTTCGATAAGTGAAAATGCATACAAGAAAATAATTTCCCATGCAACAGGTAATGACTATAGGTAAGAAGGTACTTTCCCCGCGGTTAGATGAATAATGGTTCAAATTATGTACTGCTAAAGATATATCATGTTACAATCTATACATATAATAAAATCGTAACTAAGTCGAATCTGTACATTAAATATTTTTTGGGAAAATCTTATTGAAATAGACATTATTATCGATACAGAGTCCGAATCTATAGTTTTTAGAATCATTGTCTGTCTGTCTGTTACCGCATCACGAGAAAACTACTGGACAGATTTTGATGAAATTTGGTATGATGATAGATGGTTATCCGGTTCAACATATA